TATTATCCCTCTTTTTTCTTGGGGAGTCTTGCATTTTTTTAATTAAAAACAGACTCCACGCGTGCGAAGCTGCGGGCAACAGCTAGTGCTAGTCCAGATATATACGGTTTCGAGACCAACAATTAGAAAACTAAAAAACTTGTTGATTCCATGCCAAAACGTGTTAAAAAAGATCAAGAAAGTCAATGAGACAATTTAACTTTAATATTATTCTTTTTTTGTAACCATGCGCAAAATACTGCAGTTAAAATGTAATACCAGTTGATTAAAATTTAATTAAAGAAATGTTCTGTTCCCATCCAACGAAAATTGTTTATCTATGCAATAAGTTGCAAAATGCATTGTTTGATAACGTTTTTGCAATTCGTAAGAAAGCTGGACGCGTTGCTACTTAAACCATAAAGCTAAATTTGTTGTCAGCAAAATTGTAAATACGAACTGGAATATTGATAACTTTTTACTGCGATTTAAAATCTACGTACTCACATTACAAAATACTAAATTGATAAGTAATTATGATGAAAGTTTTTACCAATAGAAGCGAGAACTTTGCGTGAAGCTGCTTACAGTGCTTACAATAATAGTCTAAAATATGAAGTAAGGTACACCTTCCTCTATTTGCTTAGCGGATAAAAGTTATTTTTTATTAAATATGCTTATAAATATACTGCCCTGCTAAGCTAAAACGTCCTATCTGACCTGAGGAAAGTTCTGAGATATTAACGATTTTCTGTTTTTATATTGTTCGCTGTGTAAATATTTTTCAAAAGGAATGAACTTTTGGCATGATTTAACTTAAAGAAATATAAATCAATACATATGTAAGAATTTCAAATTCGATAGCGATGGTATTTGGTCGAAGTATAGGGACCGAAGCAGGTACCTGCCTCTTAACGGAGTGAAGGCGAAGGCATTAAAGTGTCTTATTTATTAGCCATAAGTAGGGATGTTGCGATACAACTGATATGATACTGGTATCGATACTTTGCTTTCGATACTTTACCCATATCGATACTACTTTTGTTTCGATACTACTACTACTTTTGTTTCGATACTACTACTACTTTCGTTTCAATATTTTACTAGTTTGACATTACAATACATACAAAAAATGTATGGTAGGATCACTCACTTTATGGTATGTCGGCGTACCCTATGACTTTTTTTTGGTTCTACACTCTTCCCGATATCGGTATCGGTTCCGATACCCTTTCGATACTGGTTTCGATACTCTTTTCGATACCGGTATCAATACTTTACTGGTATCGCAACATCCCTAGCCATAAAAGTCATATTTGTTGTTAGAATTATGTATTAAGTTCCTAGGGCAATCTGGCCTGAAAAATATGGGGACACTTATAGTTCGACTGTTTCAACAGAAGGTCAATTTTACTTGTTTTGTGTTTAATTTTGAAAATAGATTAATTTGATGAAAAGATCGTATTTTTTTACATATACTTTGCAAATCGTGTAGTTGCCCAAAACGTTGACAGCAAATGGGGTATATGAGTCTGACAGGGCGTTGCCTACTTTGACCGTGATTGTTCTGTCAATGAGGTAGGAGTAAATGAGTTTGGAGATGCTAGGGGGGAGACCTTAGATTAAAGAGACCGGAGATGTAACATTGCACATAGCGCATGTTGTCTATTCCAACCTTAAGTAACCCACCAATTAAAAATCATCGTATCCACGATGTATTTATTATACAATCGAATGCAGTTTCAAAGAGAACCTCAAAAAATCCGAATCTCTAAATTTGGAGCTAAATGCTCGGATAAATGCAAGCGACCGATTTATCGATTATTCTAATGATTTTATATTTTTTTTATGAAAATCGATTTATCCGTTATAAATAATTGATTATTTTCGATTAATCAAACATTTTCAATAAATTATTTTCGTTTTTTAAAATAATGGAATAATCGATTTTAAAGGAAATACAAAAAGAAAATAGATTTATTCAAAATAATCGATTTTTTTTATAAAAATCGATTTATCGTTTAAACGGCTTTTTTTAATTAATCGATTATTTTTATTAACCGAGTATTTTCGATAAATTGATTATTTTAGATTTTTCAAAGGTATTCGAATAATTTGTTTTAGAAGAAATGCGAAAAAATAGATTATTTGAAAATAATCGATAATCCAGTTGTTTGTAAACACTGATTTATCGGTTAATTGACTTTATAATTAATCGATTATTTTTTATTTTTCAAAGCATGGCAGTCTTAAGGGGTAAACGTCCCAAATATTTTTACATGGACAGTCGCAATAATTGGTAACGGAACCAAACATTTTTATATGGCTCAGGAAAAAATGATTCAAATAGACAGGCTTAATGTATAAATGAAGAAAATAACATTGCACCGAAACGCGTAAGGGGTAAAATAACTAAATATTTTTACTTGGTCAGGCTTAAGGGGTAAAGAGTCCAAATATTTTTATATGTGCAGGCTGAAGAGGTAAAGAGACTAAATATTTTTACATTACTAGGTAAGGTTCAGATAAGGTGAGAACCATCAAATTAGGGCTCTTCGAATTAAATTATTTGACATTTTTTAACCATATAACAGTCAGAGGTTAGGTATATGTTATTATCTAGGTATTATCTAGGTATTATCTAGGTATTATCTAGGTATTATCTAGGTATTATCTAGGTATTATCTAGGTATTATCTAGGTATTATCTAGGTATTATCTAGGTATTATCTAGGTATTATCTAGGTATTATCTAGGTATTATCTAGGTATTATCTAGGTATTATCTAGGTATTATCTAGGTATTATCTAGGTATTATCTAGGTATTATCTAGGTATTATCTAGGTATTATCTAGGTATTATCTAGGTATTATCTAGGTATTATCTAGGTATTATCTAGGTATTATCTAGGTATTATCTAGGTATTATCTAGGTATTATCTAGGTATTATCTAGGTATTATCTAGGTATTATCTAGGTATTATCTAGGTATTATTTAGGTATTATCTAGGTATTATCTAGGTATTATCTAGGTATTATCTAGGTATTATCTAGGTATTATCTAGGTATTATCTAGGTATTATCTAGATATTATCTAGATATTATCTAGGTATTATCTAGGTATTATCTAGGTATTATCTAGGTATTATCTAGGTATTATCTAGGTAGATATTTTAAAGTTTATTTAAGAGGGAATGACATCAGAAATGATATTTCACAGCTATTTATCACAGTAGGTATGTGAAATTAATAACTCAACGCTGTAAGAAAAATGTAATTATATACCTCGTTATATACCTATATACATTAGTGCGTAATTGTTCAATGTTTCAATTTGTGTTATAGACACACAAACAAGTTTCAAATAAGAGTTATACGGAATTAAAAAAATTCGTATTTTTGGATATACAGGGTGTTGCGTTTTTGTCTGGCAAATAAAAATGTGCCTATATTTTTTTTAATAAAACACCTTGTATTTTATTTCAGTTTTAGAATGTTTTAGTAATACTGTATTCAACCCTAATTTTTTTTACTATTCCAAGCAATTAATTTATAAATTAAAAAATGATGCAGACCCCAAATTAAATTATCATAATGGTTTAAAATACAATTTATAAGATGGTAAGCTAACGAATAGTGGTGATTGGTGATAAAACTGAAATATTTTATAGAGTATTTTGAAACATGTCTTAAATATGGTTAAATTTAAGTTCAATTTACTCATTATTTTCAAATGCAACACCCTGTATATTATTTTAGCATAAAATTCCTTATAAATTTACCTATCCAACGATATCAACATATTATTGTATTTGTATTTTAATGTATTTGTATTTTAAACCATTTTTAAATCATTGTAAAACTATCTAAATTATCATAATTAAATTTGGGGTCTGCATCATTTTATAATTTCATAAAAAAATTAATTGCTTTGCAACCCTGTAGTATATTTTAAACATTTTATAGGGTTGAATGCAGTATTACTAAAGCATTCTAAAACTAAAATCAAATACAGGGTGTTGAACATAAAAAATATACATTTTTATTTGCCAGGAAAAAACGCAACACTCTATATCCAAAAATATTTTTAAAATACATGTTTTATATTCATATAACTTTTAATTAAAACTTGTTTGCGTTTCTATAACACAAATTGAAATATTGAACAATTACGCACTAATGACTCACCCTGTATAGCAATCATAGAAAAAATATGTTTTAACTATTTTCTATGACATGTTATTCATGACAAATTGTAGGTGTGAAGGATACGATTTTTATCGGGTTATCTCGCTGTATAATCAGGGTAGGCAGGTACTAGGATTTTTAGGTTTTTTATAAAACCTAAAAGTGTAAATTATGCAAATTTAGGTTTTTTTTAAGATAAATAGGTAGGAATTCTTAATTTTACTGTTGAAAAAGAGTGCATAAATGAGTGTATTTAAAAACAAATGCAAACATAAATTAAATGATAGTGACAATAAAGAAAAATAACATTATTTAAATATTTATTAATTTTTCACTTATTAGTTTTTTTTGTTTGCAGAATTTGATTGTTTTAATGTAATAAAGTTCTATTTTTCAAATTTTGCTTGTATTTTTTGTTTAACTTTATTAATAATAACTTTTTACATATAGGTATGAACAAAAACCCTTAAAATTCCAATAAAACCTTAAAAACATAAATAACCTAAAAACCTACTCATATATTTTTTATTTCTTAGGTTTTTTCCAATTCTGTGTATAATAGTATTATTGCTATATCTTCAGGAAATCTATTTACTTAATGTATTTTGCATTACCAAACTGTGAGATTTTGAATAATTTGCGGTAACTAGGTAGGTATGCGAAAGGTAAGTAGGTATTTAAAAAAATATATTTTTATCAAAAAATATTATCTTATCCTAAACTAAAATTTTATTATTATTTAAATTGTTTAAATTACCTTCCACTATTTGTAAGTAAAAAAACTACTATTTTTGTCATGTAAAATACATATCTAATACAAAAATAATATTCTCACCTGATGTGCTTGAATCCAATATTTTTGGCATTAGCTTTCTTCCATGCCCCATGAAGGTAATCTCTGCAAATCCTTGCTGTCAATTCCCTCATCTCCATAGAGTCCCCACTTGCAGGCTTCAAAAACAAATCAACACAAAATTTATACGTTAGTACTGGCGGTCGCATAGTCACATCTTAACACGATCACTCAAAATTAAAAAAAAAATATTTGTTCCCTAAAGTTTTCCGAAATTCCTCAATACTTGTCTAGTCTAGACTCTGCAACGCTCTAGAAACTGGATGAGTTATTATGGAGAAAATCAAAATCAAATCAATAATTTTGCACAGGCTCACACAGGTGATAGGTACCAACGTCAAAACATTGGAAAACTTTAAAAAACAAACCTTTTTAAAACAACAATTTACCTTATTTTTTGTTACGATATCCAACATACTGGAAAAAATAATCACAGGAAAAAGAAACAAAAACGTTTTAAAAAACTCCAACCTATTTGACTAGGCGTAGATACAACAAAATAAAACTCAACTAAATATAGCTACAAAATATATCACAGTGAAGTTGAATCTTTTGAGCGGCGTTTGCTTGTTTTTTATTCTTTTATGCCAATAATCTATTATGTTAATAAAAAAAGTCGGCGTGAGAAAAGTCTTTTTCAAAATAATGTATATCCACTTCTCCAAACGTTCAAAACTCGAATGTTTTGCTCTTCCTATGACGACGTTTAAATAATCAATGAGATTACAGTCGAAGCGGTGTTGCCGGTTCAATAAAAAGTATGGGATTTTAATGGGTGACGCAACTACGTTGATACGCCAAATTTTAGCAGAAATTGTGCGATTGTGCGTTTAATGAAAACAAATAATTAAAATATTAGCATAGTGGAATAAATATGTTTTGATTCTTTTATAGTAATGTTGTTTGCTGGATTCAAGGCGTAGTTTTTTTTATGTTTTAGTTTAGCGACATACGGTTGTCATATTTACCATATTTTTTCATGTCTTAGCTTGTTTTTTGTTTTCGTTGTGTGGTACATTATTTAATAAACAGGTTATTTAAAAGATAGGAGGTTCTCTTCCTATTTTTTTCGAAATAATTGCTTTTCGATGTAACAAAAAAGGAATTTCGTAGGACATTATTCTATAAGGGACCGTTTCTTATGTAGTGAAAGATGTAAAAATATATATTTAGGACGAACACGAGGCTGTCAAACATTAAAAAATAAGTTTGAATGATAAAATCATTCCTCAATCGGATAAAAAGACCCCCGATTAAAAAAACCATGGTTGAAAGAAATTTAAAAAAAATACCCAGGAAAAAAGCATCAGTTTTGATGATATATAGATATTGGCTCTTTTTGTTTGTGCCATCGGCTTCAACTGCTAAGGTTATTTCGCCTCGTGTTCTGTCTGTTTCCGGGCGCCACTTTAGGAACATCACTGTTAATTAGAACCCAACAGTGAATGGTCGAGTGGGGAATCCTACCAAGGCATCAGAATTAATTTTAAATAATTAACTTAAATAAAAAAATTCCGGTCCACGGTGGGATTCGAACCTGGGACCCTTGGATCCAGAAAACAATAATTATCCCTAATAACACTCATCTGCCAGAAACATCCCATTTAAGTTCCATGTATGTTTTTATGTTTCTGAGATAAATGGTACGTCCCTACGATGTTTCTAAAGAAACGTTTTTGGAATGATTTCTCAGGAACGTTTTAGAAATATCGTAATTATGTATAGGTATTCTATTTTCGTTTTAAATATTATTTTGAAATATCAATAAATTATAAAATTACTGCAATCACCAGAAATCTACAATAATATCAAACTCCAATATTAAATTTGAAATTTTCTTTACTTCACAAGACAACTACTACAGGTCAAACTTTTCTTTATTAGTTCTTTCAAAAAAGAGTGAAAAGCAAATACAACAAAGATGAATATATCCTTCCTTCTGGTGGCTCTTCAGGAGAGTTCGGTTAATCCTCCATGTGCTAAAAAAATACAATATTGACAGAAGCCCTCGTGATGGAATCTATTTCTTTGCATTGAAACTGTAGCACTCAGCTACAGTACTTATAAAAATATCGTTCCAATTATACAAATTTTATTGATGGAACGATAATATTTTCGATGAAAAAGAATAGACCTTATATTTGATTTGCTCGCGGAGTATTAACCGAACACGCCTACCGTATAATCAGATCCAATGACAATATTGACATATAACAGACATTTGATACAATGAAGTGGAGAAGGTAGAATGATAAGATACCGTCTGCACATCTAGGAGGGGTGTAGAAATTATGCATGATTCAACCTTCCACTCTTACTCACGTAAATAACAAGGAGAGGTTGCCCTAAAGTACAGTAAACAAATTCGAGGCCTCTTTGTTCAGATATTATGTTCATGCTTTGTTTTTTGTTTGTGTTGTGGCTGTTGTAAGCTTTTTTGCATCGGTTTTTTATTGGCTTGCTAATATTTGTAATTTTTTGTGATTTGATTTCTATTTAGTATTAAATTATACCTGATAATTATTTTCCGGTGCACTATTTTATTATTGTTGCACAAAATGTTCCTAAACCGTCCCTGAATCTTGTTTACAAAATGTGCAAAACGAAATTGTGCGTTGTGTCTGTACTTTTTCATTGACAGTTATAATTCTACCCCTCTCCAGTTCATTGTGTTCACAGTTGAAAATGAAATGGTGTTCGCCTCGTATATAATAAAGTTTGGAAAAGTTTAAGAGTTAGGCCTAGATATTTGACTTTATTTTTCAATTCTATATCTATTCCGTATAATTTAATGGTTTTGAAGAGGCTAATAGTTTTATTTTCGCGGGGTTTATATTAGGTCCCATTACACGGTATCATCTTTTGGTATGTTCTAGTCCTACCGCAGGGTATGCCAGGGTTAGTCAATATTACATGCTTTTCGCTTTTCTTCATACTGACACAGAACGTGAATTGATATTCCTCTTCTTATTCAGATAACCTGCACAACGTTGTTTCTTCTGCTGTATTGATGACACTCATGTGTCTTCTTAGGAGACGTTGTGCGGTACGATTTGTCGTTTTTAATCCAGTAGGTATTTCGTGAACTTGGCCTACTTCCTTAATGATTTCTTTGGCTTTTCTCAATCCTGAGACTCTTTACATCCATTGTTTCTCTGGTGAGACAATTTCACTTAGAGCTGCTTGGCTATCAGAGTGGATACTTGGTGATTTATTATTTCTCTTGCACAGTATCGTTTGGCTAGTAGTTCAGCTTGGAACACTGCATTGCACTCTTAGACCCAGCGAAATCGTTATTTTTGATTTGGGTTTAAAGATTCCACCAACTGCTCCTTCCTTGGTTTTTAAACCGTCTGTATACCAGACGAGTTCAGCCTGTATGGGAGATCCCTGTTTACAGGATTCTCTTGATGGTATTTAAATTTGAAAATTTCTTTCATCAGCCTTTGATCAAATAAGACTCCGAGGTATTAGGCTTCTGTTACAAATAGAATAACCATGTTGTCCATGTTGTTTAGTACTACGGGTCTAAGCCCTGTAAGTACCTGTTTTTTGTGAATAGTACAACTGCATGTTGTAATGGATAATTGTCCCTTTTTGTATCAGTTGTTCACTATGTTTAGAACTGTTTGAGATTGCTCCAAGACGGTGCCTGCAAATCGTATTCCTCCTTGTGGACAGCTCGTGGAACTTTTGCCTCTCCTAGAGTGAATAAAATGGACCTATTCTGTAGGCTGGCAGTGATCCATTGACATATTGTGTCTGGGACGTTTTTCTGTTCTAGAACCTTCGTTATTGATCTGGTTGAAGCTTTATTAAAAGCTCCTTCGATATCTAATAAAGTGGATATTGCGATTTTTTGTTCATGTATTGACTTTGAAGGCAGTCCATTTCAGCCAGCGCTAGGTCCGTTAACTTTCCTGGCTGGTATGCATATTGGTTGGAATGGAGCGAATGTATTTCTAATATCTTGTCGCTGATATACCTATTTTTCAATATTTCTAGCGATTTTAGTAAGAAGGAGGATAGCCTTATAGAGCGATATGACTTTAGCGTTTGGTCTATGAACCTACCTACTTTGGTAAGGTAGACTACTTCCGCCTTTTGCCATATTGCTGGGACATATCTCCAGGCAATAATTTTCTTATATTCAAGTTAAATCAATATAGTTCTTAAAAATAGCAAAAAATGTACCTCGTATATTTATAATTTCAGCATTTAATCGATACATTTAAAAATTATTGATTATATAAATTATTATAGGTACATAATCTTAGACAAGTTATTGAAAAGCAGCGCTGAATTATGCCTACATCTTGGGTTTCTAAGTAATCTCTGTAACAATATAATAATTACTGCAAGATACTATATGTTTCCGATTAAACTAGGGTTGCCAGACGTCCCTTTTTAGGCGTAATTGTCTCGCCAAAATACGAAAATGCCCCGCTTTTCGCCACAATGCCACGCTTTTTACTGAAATGTCACGCTTTTTTCTCAAATGCCACTCTTTTTAGATTCCAAGAGATAAGACATTTTTTTATGAAACTCCTCAGAAAGAGACATGACCTGATTTTATAAAAATACCTCTTTTTTTACCTGATTACCTATCGTCACCGTTGTCCCGCTTTTCTATTTTGTAAATCTGGCAACCCTAGATTAAACCACACTTCTGTTGTGTTTTTTTTGCACACCGGAAGATATTGTGTTTCCGGTACTATATATTTAATTTAAGAAAAGTTCATAATCTGTGAAAGAAGAAAATTAATAAAATCTGAATATAAAATTGTATCTATAATACCTTAGAATTTGACAATTTTTATTTATTTATTTAAACTTTAGTTTTTTAAAAATTTTCAACTCTCATATTCAGGTTTGGACACCTCAATAAAAGGTAAAACATGTTTTTAATTAATGCTAAAAAACTAATATAATCTAATACAAAGACATTTTAATCTTGGTAAGTATTTTCCAAAAGATAGCATTTAGTTATTTATTCCATATTTTTCAGTTTCAATTCTTATTAATTTTATTCTTCTTGGTAATAAATAATCAAAATATTTACTATGATTTGTATTTGAATTATTGTTCGGGGAATTTGGCAATTCTGTGCAACGTTTGGCAACGTTGCTTTTTTATAAGCCGGATGACGGTGGCTACTTCCAGGAATTTGGAAGGTAAACTTAGTCATAGGCGTATCTATTAATGGGGAATTAAAACGTTTACAATAGAGATAATACACTTTTATTTATCGAGCTGTCGTTAAATAAATAAACCCAACAAAAAAATAAAATTGAATACCGTTTTATATACACTTCGGGGTAAGATTAAAAACATTTTAAATATATTTATGCTACTTAATTCTATGAAAATACAATATTCCGTTGTCCAATCCGAAAAATCAATTGTCCTTTCTTTGAGTTCAACCTTTTGATATAACATTATTATTATCATATTTAATTTTATAGTTAAACTACAGATAACAAAGTGTTTCTTTAGATATGCCAAATGCCATTGCAACTCAGAATAATAACGGCAACAGCTTTTGATTGCGTGATTTCTAAGAAACCATGTGTGATAAAACTAAACGTAATTATTTATTTTTTGAATATTTTTTATTCATTACTGGCTAGCGTGAAGTTAGCCATATACAGGGTGGATGTCCGAATA